ACAAGTTTGCAGTTCTGGAAGAAGAAGAGGAGGAAAAAAAAAAGAGATGGAAAGTCCTTGTAGGTAATATCTGCTCAGTGGAAAATAAAGAAAAAGTGAAGGCTTTTACAGGCACTGAACACTGTTGTACTTTAGAGGAATTGCTGCCTGCAAATGAGAATGTTCAGTATGCACAGCCATCCCTAATGGAACCCCATCCCCACCCAGAACTCCTCAGAATTCCACCTGTGTGCCATGGTGTGTGCCTGCAGTGTGTTTTGCACGCAGCAGGCTCTGGACTTACATACCTAACCCCCTTTTTCCTCTAGTGCCTTTGCTGGCCACAAATATTTCAAAGGAATTCTGAGGAACATGGCTCCCAACCCGTTGCTGAAGTGGACTAGTGCCATCTGTAAGCAAATGATGAGCCTGTGCTCATCTGGCTGATCAAGAGGAGAATTCACTGGGCACTGAGAAGAATTCTTGTGTTTAAATTGTCCAGCTCTCAGGAAACAACACCTAATGGGTATTAAAATTAGGTGTCACTGTTGAAGAGTTGGTGGGATGCACTGTTTCCACAGTAGTTACTGTGCTAAGAGTGTTTGTGTGATGATCCTAAACCACTAACACAAGAGTTAAACTAAATACACGAATATCAGGGCAGTTCTTACTCTGTGAATCAAGACCCAGGTCTTTTACCTTCTTCTGGCCCACCCAGTTACTGGAGTCATACTGGTTTCTAATACACTTTTTAGATTCCAGTTTCCCCATACTGAAACCTGTATTGTCACTACTGTTGTAACATAAATGGCAGATACAGTTGTTAACTAGTCCCTAGCTTGCTTTTGCAAACTCCTGACTGATACTGAGAGTAGTTGCAAACTATTGCAATGTTAGTTCTCTCAGCCATTTAAACGACTCTGACACCGCAGAGGATGAACAATTTCACTTGTCCTCCTGCTGTAATTACTGAGAGTTTGTAACAATTGCATTAAAGAAAAACTATTTGCTTTATGTAGTTGTCTGTATATGGAAATGCCGTTGCATTTTTGGAGTGGGAGAAAATACTGCAAGGTGATTATGATAAAAACCACGGAGGTCAGGGAGTGTTCTGGATAGTAACAATGAGTTCACTGACAAAGCGAACAAAGGATAAAATCAACATTTATTTCCGATGCCAGAAGTGGTTTTTCTCAGCTCTGCATGAAGTGGTATTGGTGTGAATGAGTTACACCACAGATACACAAGAGTGAACAGGCTGGGTTTGGGTAAATGGCACCACACAGAGACAGTTCTAGTACCTAGGCTGGGTGAAAGGTGATTTGAACTGTTTTAGCTGACATAAGTGGTAGAATAATGTATCTGGAAAAATTGAGAAAGATAAAAGGAAACTAGCAAGGTATAAATGATACAGTAGCTATTTTGCGTAATACTGAAATCACTTCAGTTAGTCCAAGATTTGAAGTCTGACTCAATAGCATTGTCAAGTTTGCAGTCTGATTCAGCAATAAGGGTGTAAAATGGTACAGACAAATCACCTGCTGCAAGGTGCATGTCAAAATGCAAAGAATGATTGGGGGAACAATGATGAGAACAAAAAAAAAGTAAAAATAGAAGTGTCCAATATATAAAACAGGGCACGCAGTTCATGACATTTTACCTTCTAAGTGATACAATTCTACCCCATAGGAAATGCCAATGCAAACTTCACCAACAGTGTTTGTTCCTTTTAAATAAGACCATTCTGGAGACTGGGGGAGCAGTTAGAGGAAGGGGAAAGCTGAATTCGTTACCTAAAAATACTTTTATGGATCAGTGAATCCTTTCAACTTCCATAGGCTCACTTGCAAACGTAAAATATAATAGAACAATATTTTTCGTTTTCTTAGTATAGAATAATTATCAAGAGAACGAGAAATATTAAATAATAATAAAATATGACCAAACTCTCAAGACTGGGATAACTTTTTTCCCAACAGGTAGCATAATTTCTTTGTTATTGCACAGCATATTTAATAAAATAATGAAATACTAGAGATGGGTCTTAAATAAGCTATTACTTACTTTTATTTTTGCTTCAGCCTTAATTTACTCCCATCTTTCATGACTCATTTTTATGTTCTGTGCCTCCTTATACCCTCTTTTCTTTTAATGCAAAGTATTTCCTTGAAAAGAAGTTCCCTGCAAGCAAGCACACAAAAGTACTCACTTGCTTAATTTATCTTCTGACAAAACCCAACAACTCCATTCAGGATCAGGGCCCTATTTTTACTACTGACTAAAGAGAATGACACGGTCCTTTCTCTGTGAAGGTCATGGTTTAAGTGCCTGATTTCCTGAATACTGTATGAAAGAAGGATGATGAACTTAGCTGTTATCAGCTACTTTGTGTGAAGAAAGGTGCGAGATAAAGAGGAACTTTTCATGCCTGATCTCCTTTCATTATCTGTTGTGTTAAACTGCAGTGAGCAGTCCCTGAGAAGCCCAATATTTAATGCATTGGCTATAACAGCACCGGGCAATAGATTCATAAACTGATATGGTACACACAGTTTACTTGCTGTAAATATGTATAATGCAAAGAAACACGTCCATTTATCACTTCTACCAGTAAGAACTCCTGCAGTGCAAAAAGAAATTCAGGCATCCATGGGAGAATGGGAAGTTTGAGCAGGAATTATGTTTTCAGGGGTGTATAACCTACAATGTCTGTTTTAAGGTTACAACATTGATGTGTAATAGCAATCACTAATGAAATGCCTCGATGCCTAAACACATTTTTTCAAACTGTAGATAAATAGGAAAGAATAAAACAAAACATAGTAACTGTAAGGTTTGCTATGTCTAGAAGTTGTATAAAGTTGAAATTTAAAGTGCTGAAAAAGGGAAGAGAATGCAAGCAACCCAAGGAACAACGTGAGTGTTTACTCAACTAGATTAGTTTAATGGATGTTTGCTTTTGTGTTGTTTTCTTACTTTTATCTGTATAAAATCTAAAAAAAATCTGCCAGTGACATACAATTTCCTTTTAGTTTTACTGTCACTTCATTGTCATTTTTCTGTATTTTCAAACAACTGTTTAGTTTGCCATGCTCATTAAAACATCATTTCTTTGCACCTAAAGGAACTTGTAAATGCTGGTTAACACACTATGACACCAAGGCTTATTAAGCAAGTTATTTTATCTTCCCCATTCTCTTCCAAAGACATGTAGGTATACTTCAGTTATTTAAAATAATTGTCTGGGTGCTCTCACATTATTCAGTGTAAAATATGAGAATGGCAGAACTTTCACACCAATACACATTTGCAGAAATGACATTTGTGAAACTGTATTTATATGTTCTCTGCATTCTCCTGCCCTATTAGTGTTAGCAAGGTGTGAGGGATCCTTTGTACTATTCATGTCATAAGCTATTCCCAGGCTAATTTCTGATCTCAGGAAAGAAAGGGTGTAAGCTGAGACTGTCAGATCCTCAGTGAGAGCACATACATGGGATAAAAAGGTACCTCAAAAAGAGAACTGAAAATTCTCTCACTGTCTCCTCAGGAATGTGAAACTTAGCTTACTCGTACCAAGATTAATTTTTTTTTTTTAATTATCACTATTGAAATAGTAAACTGAAATAGAAACTCTGAAATATAATATATTAAATTTTAAAACATGTACGAAATTAAATATATAAAATCAAAAGCTTTTTTTTTTTTTACATTGCTAATAAGATTCTGGAACTGGAATTCACTCATCATTGAGTTCACTGTACACCATTTATCATAAGAATGCTGCAGCCTCTCAGGCCTGATGACCTGCTTCACTTACAGAAAGTGTAAAAACTGACTTATCCAGCGTTCCAAATAAACATGTCTGTAAATATAATTAAGAATATATGCCTGCTATGCAAGGAGACATAGTTTGTACTAAATCACTAATGTGTTCATATTCAAACTTCACCAATGGGCCATAAAAAACTTGGTGTCTGTCCCTGACAGCGATTGCTACTCGTGACATAATTAAAGCTTGTCCCTCGCAATTAATCACCTTGACTGCCAACAAACAGGATATTTATCTTCATTAGCTTCCTCCATGGGAGGCTTTCCTTCATGCCAGGGAGCCACCACCATGTTTGGGTGTCGGAGGGGCCCAGGGATGGAGGTGAGCTCTGCCCCTCCATCCAGCCCCTGGGGGACAGAGGCAGCCCCTTGGAAGGGCTGGGATGGCACTGGCAGAGCGTCACAACTGGGAGAAAAGCATCCCCCAGGAATGGGTGGAGTGAACCAGAGCACACCCATTTGGCCAAGGTACCCTGTGTATGGAGAGTAACTCCAGCCACAGCAAACCCAAGTCTGTTTAAGACTATGATTTTGTACTTTCGGCTTCCTCGTGTGTTTTAATTAAAGCCAAACAGAATTATGGACAGTACAAATTATTTTTCTCAAGTGAGAAACAAAAGAGAGGATGCCAAGCTAATTTATTTGCTTTTGTTTGCATCTCTTTTTCCATGATTATTTTAACAAATGAGTTTACTAGCAGGAATGTTTGGTAAAATAATGAAGCAAATATTGTTAAATATTGTGATTATTCATAGCAGAACCTATAAGTTATGTTTCTTCAATTGGAAAAGAGAAATGTGTTCTACGACCTACGTACCCATTCAAAAAAAGCTTGAATATTCAGAAAGCTCTGCTTATGAATGAATTACAGACAAAAAAATTATGCATAGATATTATTCAGCAAACAGTTTGAACATATACATCAGAAAAACTAGTTTGTTTGGAAAACTTGCAAACACATAATGGAGCAAAGAAATTATTCATTATGAATTATTTGCACAGCATCTGTCTTACTTTCTCATGTTAATTGCCTCTGCTAAACCACATTTTCACCCCCTCAGTATGTAAATTTAAATGATTTTGCATATTTTCTGAATACCCAGTAAATGCATGTTTCATTACCTTACTGCTTACATTTTTTGTCACTCTAATTGCACTGGAGTTTATATAATTTTAAAAATTTGACCTACCAGCTTCCTGTAGGTTGCAACCTCTTCCTTTGGATTCTGAATATTGCCTAAAAAAAAAAAAAAAAAAAGAAATTAAACTCATGGATATTAACCTCGTAAGGTAAGTGTTAATTCCCACTGTATTTATAAAAGCTAGGGTTTGGTTTTAATCACAATACCTTTACTGTAATTATTATAAATCTAGGACGTGACCCACAATCGATTTGATTTAACAGAGAGAATTTTACTGACTTTTGAGAGCCTACAGCAGCAGGGTGATGTATCACTGTATCCTTTCGTGCTTCCTAAGAGGTACCACTCTTGTGTATAATTATTCTTTCTACAAATACAAGCTTATACATCAGGCAGTTTGATTTCCTCTAAAAATATATCTTTTTTTCACTGAATTTGTGAATTTTTGGTTCTTTGACCACTGATCCACGTCAGCTCTTTAAGAAACTCCACAAGAAGAAAATATGCACGTTGTCTCCTGCTTTTTCTTTGCAATGAGTTCATGCCACCAATAGAAATATATGTCTTGTCAAAAGCTGTGCTGGTCTTGGAAACTAAATGCAAGTTTAACCCTTCAGAAATGTTAACAAAAACAACCCCTCCAGCCAAATCTGTCCCACCGGGTCACTGAGAAAGCCTCGGGATGGGCTCACCATTATCAGCACACACACTCTGTTAGAGATCTGCAGAAAGAACTCCTGTTACAGCTCTTTGAGAAGTACAAAAATACACTTTTATAATGGCATAAACCCTTCTGTTTAGGATTCCATCTTCACTGTACCACAAAATACACAACCCCTGAAATTATTTGCTTTTTTCTACTTTATACTGAGGTTAAAAAGCACTGGGTTAACTTGGGTAGCACAAATGGGTAAAAACATACTTATTCATTTACTTGTGCTGTGGGCAGAAGCCTGGCTGAATGTTTACAGCAAGTGTTTTGTAATAGCCATTAGTACATTGCCAAGGCACAGGAGGCAGATGTTATTGCCTGCACAACTCTACTAAAAACTCAAGTTTTCTAGCATCCTAATGGATTACAACAGGGGAAAAGAAATCAGGATATAGTGTTATGATACAGTACTTTTTGCATTAATATGAAACTTAATTGACTCATCCTCTACAGGTACTTGTGGGTCATAACAGGATTTCTGTCATGAGGAGTTCCCCAGCACATCACAGGGACCCCAGTACTATTTTTGCTGCTGATCCATCCACCCTTCTGTTCCCTAATGCACCTGGCCTGGCTCTCAGATGACTTCTGAAATGAACAGCACCAAAAAATTTTGGGCCTAATCTTCAGCAACTCATTTTTTTGTAATATACCTTTAGGCTACTAAACACATCTATAGGTTTCTCCTCTCTACAGGGTGTGTTGTCCTGTGTGCTTTAGCAGTTCAGTGAGCTGAGCTGATTCAAATGAGCCTTGAAATGTTAAATACAACTTGTAATATCAAAGGTTCTCATATCAAATAATTTTCTTCCTGTGGATCCTAGGGAGATTAAGAACTCGTGCAGCGACTGAAATGTCCACTACTTACATCAAATATCTCAGCACTGGCTGTACCAGTACCTGTTCATTGAAGAAATGGCTGGAAAATACAATTGCAGCACTTCTGACTTTATTTGTAAATCAGGCATAAGGAGCATAGCATTAGGTCCATGTGGCAATGAGTGAATGCTGAATGTTGAGTAATTGTGTCCCAGTGTGACAGAAGCCTTCATGTACAACCTTGGGATGATGTTTTCATTGCAGCTGGTGTAGAAATTAATTTTTGGGCGAGACAGTAAACTAAATGCAGTACGGCTGCACTTTGAATTTTCCTTCAGTCTGCTTATCTCAAAGCCCAGAGAAAGAAGTTATCCCTTCTTTATTGTTTTTCTAGTTTTGCTTTCATATCTTGCAGCAAGTGGCTGTTTATGACTTGCTTGCCTTCCTTTAATTCTGAGCTGAATTAAGATGAAGCATGGTTGGAACAGTCCAAAATACCAGCACCCAGAACACTCCTGTGTGTTCAGAATTGAAGAATAGGAACTGTCAAGACATTGGCTGCTGCTTTCCCACCCTTTGCTTTGCAAATGCAGAAGAGATACTCAGAGAAGAGTTCTCTTTATCCTTGATATCTTGGATCTGGTCTGTTTATCAGAACAGCCCTGGTGCACTTGTTGGTGTACAAGGACAACCCTCCCTGTGCTCAGAGTCTGAGCTGGATCTCCTGTCCTAATTCTGGCACATTCCTACTGACACACATTTCTGTACTATAATTAACTCTAATTATCATATCTTAAAGCAAGAATATGTCTTCTATCTATACACTTCTTGATAGTCTTATAAAAAATAAATAGTTTGAAAGGTAATTAGTAAGTAATTCAGCGTGAAAATAGGGAGTTTGTATTTTCCAGGACTAGCATTCTAATTGTGAATTCAGTCACACAGAGGATCAAATGGTTCTGGAAAATTCTGAGAATAATAAATGGGCAGACCTCAATATTGCCAACAATTAAAAGAGTTATATTAGCATATAGAAAATAGCCCCACATTTCCTTCAGGATTCTGGTTTCAGGAGAAAATGTGGAGTCTTGATACCACTGTGGAACAACTGTTAACTGCATAATGACAATCACAGGATACAGAAAGAAGTAGGGAGTACTCTAATGGAAAGCATATTGTCATTTTCCTTGCATTAAAAGTCAAAGGCAATTAAAACATAATTTAATTAGAGAATATCTTATCAGTTGTAAAAAGTAAAATTGATTGATATGCATTGTAGGGATAACTTGGCTGCTGCTATTTGTAAAGTGATGCTGAGGCTGACAAATTAGTCTCTTGGTTTTCTTATTTGATAATTTCATGTATTTTTATATTTTCTTTCACCAGTGAAAGCATTTAATTAGCTAATGTTTAATTGCTCATTGTTTGGAAATGGAAAATGTTATAACTGCATTGTGATTTGAAGAGTTGTTGGCATTGAAATTAAGCATCATGCATGACTGTATCCTGCTCCCTCATCACTAAAAATATTTATCTGATAATAGGATCTTTCCTATGATTCTTTTTTGTCTGCATTACTGTCCAATAAGATGGTTTAGTCTCCAGATTAAACATCACATGTAGCTGGAAACAGGTCAGTGTAGCTCAGAGCAGCTACAAATCAGTGAGCAATCTCCTCACTTGGAAGAATCTGTATCACTTAACCTAGGGCTGACTTTGGCCCTGCAAGGGATAACCAGTCAGGAGTGATGGACACTGACAAAACAGCAAACCTATTTCTGATTTGAAAAAGCCACATCAAAAAAAGAGGATAACCAATATTTTTTTTTTTTTTAAATCCCTCCTACGTTGATTAAAGCCGAAATCATTACTTCAGTAAAAAGCTGAAAGGTGGCTTCGGTTAATAAATATTAACAAAGTATCCAGGTATCTGTTCTTCTCTGTTAATTTTATTTTTAGAAGTGAGCTGATGACACGGTTTTCATAATTTTTTTGGCTATTCCTAATATTTCTGTTCTGCCGAGAGAATATCAGCAGACTAATGTCTGCATGGATTCCAAATGAATGCGTTATTTCCCTCAGAATGAACACTTCTAAAAGGAAATAATGGGACACTTTCAAAGGACTGGTAAATAAATCAATTAATAAATTATTTAAATTAAAATTATCTGTAACACTTGACTAAAATCAGATACTGGTTCTTTAGGGTTAGGACACCTGAACTTTGTTTATATTCCCTCTGTCCATAGAACTTCTACACCAGTTTTAGAGATTCACTGGGTAAAGTGAGAGAGAATAATCTTCTGGTAGACTAAAATAATGTCTTTGTGGATTTTTTTTTTTTAAGGTTTCATGTGGGTTTTTTAGAAACAAAAATACATTCTTCTTGGGTCTATCAAAATCTTTTTGGACTGTGGCAGCTGTGGTTTTTCCCTGTCAGGAAAATCTATATAAAGGCAATTCTATGAAGCCTGGTTTTCTGTGTGGTCTAACTTATTTCAAAGTGGAGACACATAACAATTGAATATGATAAATAAGGTAATTTCTGTTTTGCTCAAAGAAAGGAGATCAGTGTACATGTGCACCTTTTTATACTGGAATCAATTTAAGAGGATAGTTTTTTTCACATTAAATAGCTTATGAATAAGAATAGTCTCATTTAGAATCCAGAAAATATACAGAATTCTGTTTAAATATTCTAACAGCCTGAGAAGGGGAAAAAATTTGAAGAAGTAACTCTGTAGGCCTCTGACTTCACTGTGAGACATTTGAGCTAAAAAAAAACCCCAAGTAATTAAAAAACAAGATAACAATCCATTAGTTGTTTCTCAGATTGTTGGAGACAGCTGCCCTCAGGGATATAAGATGTTATAAAATACAATATATATCATAATAATGCAAATGATTCTGCGTGAAGTGGTGTCTAGCACTTGGTTGAAACATATTATTTCATTTGAAAAGTCACACAAAAAGCTGTAAAAAACCCATCAACATGGTGCATAAGTGCACCACTGGAAATGTGTATTAACTATAGTCCCTGCTCATGGCAGGGGGGTTGGCCTTTAAAGGTCTCTTCCCATCCAAACTATTCGAGGATTCTACCAACTAATGCCAGAGAGTAATTTATAAGTTTAGGAACAAAACCACTGAGAAAGCCTTAAGCTACAACCAAAGGGAATGTTTCATGAAAAACAGTGCAGTTATTAGGTCAAAAGCTTAAAGAGATAAACCACCAATTTGTTATTTCACCAATTAAAAGTAATCGGGAAGGGATCGTTTCACAGTCTAATAAAACATCTCTCATTTTTACTGCTCATTATAAACATCTCTGTACTTCAGACACTTTGTGCTGGGAATTTATTAAAAATACCTGAAAGCAGTAGGTTTGCCAAAAAGGCATGATCACCTTTAAATAAGTAACAAACCAACATCTTACAACTGATGGCAGGATGAGAATTGTTCAGGAACTGTGAGCTCCCCTCCAATTAATTTTACAAGGTGCTTAAAACTTATGTGCTAATCTATGAAGATAAAGCTTTCCACAGTCTGTGCATGAAGGTGCCC